CGTGTGTTTTGTGAGCCTACGATGACAGTTAGGAATAGAACCTGATCTACAGTTCTGGAAGTGGTTCCTATTCGTAAATGTGCAGTTGAATCAAAATCGTAAAGATGACCATCTGCAGCAACAATGGTATTGTTGCGTCAGCGGAGGTCACGTGACTAGTATCACGCCACGTCCTTCTCGAACATTCACGTCTCTTCCTTAAATCTCGGGATCCTTCTAGATATAGTGTAGTTTTGTATACATAAGACGGTCACAAAGTGACGGCAACAATGTGTGTAATTGAACTGAGTACTGTTGAGTCGAGCACGTGAGACGTTCGTTGAGAATTATAGCGTTTGTTATAGCGCGACCCTTGAAATTAAGTGTATGGCAAAGTTATATTCAGAAAGAATAAACCAGTTTTATTTAAGAAAGGACTTCTATCGGTAAAGTTTCTTCGGAAAGAATTTTTACGGAAAATTAACGAACGAACGTAGACGTAACAGTATGTTGACATCCACGAGCGAACATCTAATAGACCTTGTTGTTCTCCGAGATCACCCTCTAACACATCTCCTTTTCATAAGTCTTTTGGCTGGGAAATGCAATTTCCTATTGAAGTTTAAAACTTATGATCTGCAAAAGAACGAAATGAACATAGAAAAGCACCCTCGTCGAGAAAAAACAAAAACCCTGAACACAAATCTTAAGATCACTACAAATAACTACCACACTCACTACCTTACTCTGTGATATTCTCATGTAAGCTGATAACCTTACAAATAACAATAGTAACCAAATTAACTATAGGAATGGTAGGAAAATTACTATGGAAATAAACTTAATTTCTAACCGTATTGAGTTGAAAAATGAGACTTAGTAACACAATACTTTATTTGCTTGTAATACATGACAAAACGACTTTCTATACAGGCAGGACTAATGCACAATCTAATGGGGGAAAGGCCTATATCAGATTACAGAGGCCTGCGAATTTAAACTTCATAAAAGTTGTTTTGGTTTTAATAATAATTTCCATAATTCAGCTACGTAGATTTTGAAAATAATATTAATTTTTCTTCAATCACGTAAGGATTTTCTACAAATCGAGAATAAAAAACTCTTACTTAGATCAAATTACTATTTTGTTTACCACAATGACCATTTTTTATTATTATGTTTGCTATGTTTGGGTTCTAGAACGATCGATAAGACTCTCACATCGCGATTGGTCTAGAGAAATCTATAGCCAGAGGTTGTCAACATTTTAAGCATAACAAAATATGATCTGAGTTCAATGGAAATGATTCTCTTATATAAAAGTACATATGACGTTTTGTGAAAAATCTGTACGTGATGGACATAAATGTATATCATTTTCGGATTCCGCTTACAGGAATTACTGCAGAACGTGTAAAAATTTCAAGACAATAAAACCATCGCAGGCCTGCGTTATTGTTTAGGTAATCCGAATAAGACATACTGCAAATTGTTATTTACTTGTTCCAATAGCGTTAATTTTCCCAGATTGCATTTGTTGTCCACATCATTGGCCATCCCATGCGTAACAATAGGAAGGACTTAACTTCCAGGTATTTCTAAATTTGTGCGCAATTGATCTTACTAGAGATACTTTCTCTATGGTTATACCAAAAGAGAATGACTTTGTACTATGTGTCACTAGTACAAACAATAATGTAGCTATATTCTAGGACCGGTTTTTCTATGCGTTAAACCCTACACATGCGCCAAGAGCGTGAAAATGTTCACCTTTATAAGCTAAAAGAGGGAAAGAATATGACATTCTTCAGATATCTCGGCCATATGGTTTTAAATTAATATGGTCTAAGAATTGTAAAGAGGGTATTTTCTGATTCGTTGTGTATTAAAACCAGTGACTTGGAGGCGTAACAGTAGTTAGTGCATTACCCCTGTGTCCAAAAGATGGGGAGTCGCCAGGTGAGTGGAAATCAAAGGACGCCACCTGAGGGTTATATAACTATAACGTAATATGCAAATGATGCCGACACTTGAGGGTAACATAGCTGTTACATAATATAGAAAGGATGGCAACACCAGGGGGGTAAGAGAAACGGAACCAGAGTGCGCGGCTGTCTAAGGGGATGAATGGCATTATAATTCACAACAGAGGGTGCGACTGTCTAAGAGGAAGAGCGACATAATAGTTCAACACCAGAGTGCGCGTGGCTAGGAGTCATAGTTCCAGGATTTGGCACCGAAGAGCGCATAGCGCGTTACTAGAAGATGGATAGGACAATGAGGCCATCTATGAGGACTGAACGGATAGTCCGCGAGCAAACCACCAAAGGGTGATGTAGCTCAACAGATATCAATGTGTCTCAACATGACATCAATATTGTAGACTACATTTAATTATATGTCCTAAAAAGTTACAAACACAACTATTATTTGAACACGACAGTATAGCTGTTTCTGTTTTCAGGTAATAACTAATTTGCATGTTTCATAAAAGTTTTAAATACAAGTAAAACTATTATATTAACGAGACAACTATTATGACATAAGGTATTATGTATGTCAGTTTTATCACACATAGTATCTTCATTTGTCCATTATTTGAATGAAGCAAATATTATAGCATAGCCGCTTTTACAATTATCTGATGCTTTAGGTACAAAACACTTCACTAAATCATTAGTTCTATAGTTTTCACTTCTCTAGTTGACAGATCATACATCCTGAAAAGTTATCATCACATCTAATGTTTCGTTTTTTAAATATTGAACGAGGCAGTTAGTATGGCCAATTGTGTTTTTATGATTAAAGTATAAATGTTGTATACATTTAAAGTACTGAATGTAGTTTTGCTTCTTTATTTAATTTGCATGACACATTTTTCGCCTTTCCTAACGTTCTATATGTAGAACACTTATTAATAATACACTTCTACAATTAGTATATTGTATAACATATCTTCACCCTGAAAAAAAATACTTACTTAAATCTCTAAATAATATACAATAATTCCACGTCTAACTTTGTAAGTTGATTTGTTTCACTTCAGTTAAGTTTTAAAGGATTTACAGAAATAGTTATGTTTTACAGTTACTATTACAGAAAATTCTATTCTTACCTTTCTGTAGATTTTTTATAAATCTTTGAGGTGGCATCCTTTGGGTACATGTGGTAATGCGCTAACTACTTGTAATATCTTGAATTATATCAAGTATGGATATGTTCCACCACCATGATATTTACCCATTGCATGTGAAGACTTATTTCACTTGCCAGAAAGCATAAAATTGCACTAGTGAAGTTATTATTCTTCAAGAGCTGTGAGTTGAAAGGAGATTATGTGATTTCAAAGGGTTATATAGATTCAATTGGTTTGTTGGGTTCAATGAGTTCTTGGGTCTAAAAGAGCGGGACTAATAGGTTATCATATCTTAAAAGTGTTTAGAGTCTCAGTGGGCTAGCCACACCCTATTATGCCACCATCCCATTCCAGGTCAAGAGTTTGGTGTGGTTTGTTTTTTATTTCGCGCATAGCTACACAAGCACTATCTGCACTAGCTGTCCCTAGTTTAACAGTGAAAGACTAGAGGGAAAGAAGCTAGTCATCACCACCCACCGCCAACTCTTGGGCTACTCTTTTACCAACAAATAGTGGGATTGACCATCACTTTATAACACCCTCACAGCTGAAAGGGTGAGCATAATTGATGGGACAGGGATTCGAACCCGCGACCTGCAGATGGCGAGTCGAGCGCTCTAACCACCTGGTCATACCAGACCCCAGGTCAAGGGTTAGTCCTGCCCACCTTTCATTCAAAATCAATTTAATTTATGACCCATAATACATATGTGTATATAGATATATATATATGGACAGTAAAGTTTTTAAGCTAAAGAAAACAATGGGGTAGTTTAATTTACTGATCATTTTGAAATACATAAATATGTATTAAACATCTACCCCCCCCCCAAAAAAAAAGACATAGATGGAGTTAGTAAACTTATAAGTTTATATACACAACAAAAATAAAAATTATGAACCGGTTGAATTTTAGATAGCCATACAGACGGTGACAGACAGGCATATAATTCTATAAACAAGAACTAAAAAATAACAAATTATCCAATTTCAATAAAATATAAAATTCAAAAGAAAAAAGAAATGATAAGATGGGTAGCAATAATCGAACATCAACCACCATAGAAATGACAGAAGTTTTACTGCTACAAGTGTTGCTTTTTCACATAAAAATCTACTGGTGATCTTTTGAGGTTTGGATATGAAATGATTGTGTCGTAATTATTCATTCCAGTAAATAAATTTATGAAACACAAGCTTTAGAATTTTAACGAACTTGGAAACCATATTTTTTACGTGAAGTGTTATAGAAATATTTGTCAACCACATTTCTAACCCTTCTTTCCCTTATCGCGAATGAGTCGAATGTCACCCCCCCCCCCCTCCACCCTCCTTCGTTCCTAAAGGCTTTTCTAATCGGAAGTTATCAATATACGCGACAGATACAATGTAAAAGGCAGGTGCTTTAAAAAAGTACCCATTTTTCAATGATCTATATCTCTGGCTAAATAGTACGGTTTACCTGTATACCCAATATAGTTCATAAATATATTGTTTTTTTCATTACTATAATTTTATGGTACAAATATGTTATTGAAAACAAATGAAGTAAACAGGCTTGAAGCAGCCATCATGCTCTTTAAAATTGGTAATTGTTTAAACCGTGTTCTGATCACACTGGAATATGATTCCCGGAGGCCGACTTGTTAGTACAGTTGGAATCATGATATCAGTATAAGCTTAAAAAGTTTATCAAAAAGAACAATAAATCAAAGAACTTCGTGTGCCAGTCTCAAAAAACTACAACGGAAACTTTCTACCGAAATATAAAATCATAAACTGGATATAAAAGACGTACCTACCTGACGTGATAATGGAACTAACCAAGTATCTGCTTGATGACGTTGCGTGACGCTTCACGTGCATTCAGTAATTACGCATAGGAGAGGTCGTGGTAGGCTGTCGGTGTCCAGGTTGGTTAAGAGACGAAATATCATTCTTTTACAATACACGGTCTGTACTTTTTTGTGTGCTCGTATGGGAAAAGCGCTTGGTTTTCCTTTATCTTGATGATTGAGTTGATGGAATTTCACCCTCTTTAATTCTTTTAAACATAAGGTCTTCAAAATGTCACAAAAGTATTTGAGTCCATATGAACACACATGTCTTCGGTGTGAGCAGACTGTCTACCAGGTGGACAAAGTCGGACCTCTGAAAGATTTCTCTTTTTTCCATCAGGGTTGTTTCAAGTGTTTGGTTTGTGGCTCCAAGCTGACTCTCAGGACTTACTACAACAACCAACAAAATCAGGATGACAAGGAAGTGTACTGTCAGAACCACGTCCCGAAGACGGGCCCAGGTACCTTGGACGGAATGTCCGTGGGGATAAAGTCGGCGCTCGCCGCACCCCGTACGAACCACCTTGTAAATGACCAGATTCGTGGATCTGGCAAGGGAACGTTCGATGTAGATGCTATAGGTATTAAGACAGCCCTCTCGTCCCCTAGACCGTACGAAACTGATAGTAGAAATCGGGAGAGTCTGGCCGGGAAGTTTGACGCTAGTGCCCTTCACATTGCCCACGGGATTAAGGCTACCAAACTTCAGCAACAATATCGTATCCAATATGCAGAACGGACAATGGACGAATATCTGGTAAGTAATAAACCTAGTAATTTTTGTTTTAAACCATCAGGCTGCTAAGTTTATTAATTTACAGATTTCATAAGTTTACAATTAAAAAATTTATGCATTCTACTTTTGTACCGGAAATAGGCTTCTTCAAGTAGCTAGAATGTTCACATAAGAGGGTTAACTCTAACCAGTCTCTGGCAGCAGTTCGGAAAAGCAGGTACATTTTTGTTTTAACTCTTCACTACATTTCTATCATAACTGAGGCACTGGCACGTGGACGTCTGACGGACAAGCTAGCACATTGGCAAATAGAAACTGTAATAAAAAAAAAAAAGATTTGAACTGCACATAAATTATATTCAACTGTCAAATGGTGATTAAAAGGAAACATCAAAGCTTGTAAGTACATGAAAAAGGGGGCGAAAAATAGTTACTTGTATGTTTCAGATGTAGAAGTTATAAAAAGTTACCATAACAACTGTCAAAGTTACTCAATAAGCACTGTATAAATATATCGCTGGAATGATTAATCCACGAAACATCTGTCCTATTATACCATAGAATTATATGCCATGATTTGTTGGCAGTCAACAACACCATTCAATAATAGAGAATATAAGCTGGTTACAGTAGTTGCTTCGTTATGAACAAAGTGTTAACAACAATGCTGTATTTTAACTGTAATGTTGCCGAGATTTTGAAACAATTGACAAGTGAGTTACCCAGCTATGTGAAACAAAATTTGAAAACGATTCACTCAGAGCTGTTTTTATGAATGATATTTAAAAACTACTTTCAATTTCATGAACCCACATCAAGCTGCGAAAGTTTATCTTTAGTCCTTACCTTCTTTGTTTTACTTTCTAAAAGTTTGTTATTTGTTCTTTAGTAACTTTGAATTTAAAAAAAAAGCCCAGAGAGTAAGTTATTACTTCCACAAAAGGAAGACATAAGCTAAAGCCCATCACTTTTTTTTGTTGTTGTTGTTGTTGAACGGACGTGACGTCATGATAGACTAAATCCTGTACGCTAGCATGGCTTTCCGCACGCTCGAAGTGAAACGTTACAACCAACAAAGTTAATCCACTGAGACGAAACTTGTTCCTTTCAGGAGTTAATTTTGTTAAACTGAAATTTCCCTCCAGGTGTCTAACTATATGAATGGGACGTTCAGACCACTATAGCAATTAACCAACAAATATACCTACCCTGGGAAAAATAAAGTTCACTGTAAAAGATCTTGATCATTAAATTAACTAACAAATATACCTACCCTGGGGAAAATAAAGTTCACTGTAAAAGATCTTGATCATTAAATTAACTACAAATATACCTACCCTGGGAAAATAAAGTTCACTGTGAAAGATCTTGATCATTAAATTAACTAACAAATATACCTACCCTGGGAAAAATAAAGTTCACTGTAAAAGATCTTGATCATTAAATTAACTAACAAATATACCTACCCTGGGAAAAATAAAGTTCACTGTAAAAGATCTTGATCATTAAATTAACTAACAAATATACCTACCCTGGGAAAAATAAAGTTCACTGTAAAAGATCTTGATCATTAAATTAACTAACAAATATACCTACCCTGGGGAAAATAAAGTCCACTGTAAAAGATCTTGATCATTAAATTAACTACAAATATACCTACCCTGGGAAAAATAAAGTTCACTGTAAAAGATCTTGATCATTAAATTAACTAACAAATATACCTACCCTGGGAAAAATAAAGTTCACTGTAAAAGATCTTGATCATTAAATCAAAATTAAATTTTTGTTATTTTGGTCGTTGTTATGCACATCTTTTGTTTCTTAATATTTAAATTGTTCTATTATTTCCTTCGAAAAATGTATTGGCAAAAATTCGTTGTTTCCGAAGATTTCATTGTTTGAAGGAGAGGTAAATAGAAAGGTAGACGAATTGTAAAAAATATTAAACTCGTAAATGGAATACCTAAATTGTTCAACTTTAAAAAGTCTGAAATATTTAATATTATCCTCACCCTAAATATGAGTGTTTTAATTTTTATCATCCGTTTTTTTTAACCTATGTCTACGTACACTGTATGATTTAAAGATGCGAAACATTTGAAATATTTATTAAGGGAGGGCGACAACACCAATTCCCTGCTGCATTGCCGTGTTTGGTGGTATCGCTGGCATATGTTTTATTTACATGTACTTCTGACCCTCAGGTTGAAATTGTTTATTTAGCTAAGAGCTGCTTACCGTTTGCTTTGTCTTATTAAGGATTTATGAGTTGGTGTTATTATAATGTGTCTAAGCTATGGCGTTATACGATTTTTTTACATATTCAGTACTGCGCAGTCGTAGTACACTTGCCTGTCGTTTCTGTAACTTGTAAGTCGGGTTCAGGTATAAAGATTTCACGTACTAGTAGCATGAAAATTGGCCACACTTTCGTTTGTGATGAAATATAGAATGTAGCGTAATGCTTTCAGTACGTAGTAGTTACCGTTTTTGTGGCTATTTCTTTGAATCATACTCCTAAATATTGCACCGATTTTTAGACTATCTGATGCTTGTCAGTTTCCAGTGCAACAATGATTGTTTTATTAACTCAATTGAAATATTTGACCACAATTCCACACGAAAACACGTTCTCTATATCTAACTCAGTTTTTAGTTATTACATATTTAAGTTAGAAGAGGATTCGCTGGACCACTTCATCTCGGTAAATATACAGTTCATTTGAAATGGGAGATGTACGTTAGGGATTATCAAACGAAACTGTTGCATATTTTGTTACTTTCAAAACAACGGTATATATTTAAAAATAACTAGCCAATGAGTAGAAATATATTTTGAGTTTTACAAAAATTGTTTCTGTTAATATTATATAGGCGCTAAAGTCACATCTCCAAAACTTCTCATGTAGATATGAAAACAATAAGTAACACATTGACACATTAAACCAATCATTCTTACTTTAACTTAATATAACAGTAATTCACCATAAATTAAATTTTTATTTTAAAAACCCTTGTACGTATTTGAATATCGTATTCATAAATCCTAATTAAGCTAGTACATTTCTTTCACATTTGTGTGGATAAGTAAATGATCCCTTATCAAACTTGTAACCTCTGTCTGTTAGTTTTCAAGTAAAACAACCCTTTAACTACGGGCTCTTTGGATAACAAATGCAATTTACTCTGTTTTGGAAATATCTCTTATTATTCACGAAAAATAAAAAAACCCAGCGAAAAACCTCGAACATTAGTAATATTTCTTTTAAACACCATTCGGCAGAATCAAACTACATATTTAGTCTTACAAGTTATATGTTCTGTAATCTCAAGTCAGAAACTTCCAATGAAAGATTTTCATGCAACTTTTGTCACATAACTTGAGTATATAGTAATTTCAAAATTCTATAATTAAAATATGCATAGTGGATTACTGATGTAGTATTTACACGTAGTCTCTCATACATTCCATTTATTTACTAAACATTTTTTTTAATTATCTAAATTCTAATTTTGGAACATTATAAATCTGAGATAATGTGCAAAACTTCAGCCTGTGATGTTAGTTATTTGGGTAGTTTGACCATTCAAAGAACGTCTCTACTTTACTTTGTTTACATTTAAAATTATTTGAAGCTTAATTCAAAATATATGAGATATTTTTTAACGATTCCAAAACTATTAATTTTATTATATTCCACACTTAAATCAGAAGGTATTGCTACTAGGGGAGGCTTTACATCCTACTTGTACTGTTTATTCGCAGATTGTTTAAAGAAAGTTAGGCAAAAATGCTTTGTTTTTGTGGAATTTTATTATCAATACTCCCAAAACAATTAGTTATCATTGTTGAAGGAACTGCGCATTGTAACACCCTATTCATTTAAAATATAGTAACTGGGTGATAAAATATTATTTTACTTTTAAACTGTGATGATTACTTGATGTACTTGTTTAAATAATTGGGATTCAGCTGTATATTTTACTGTATGATTTGTATAGTTAAAATTCAAGGTTAAATATCATAAACTGGGGTTGAAAAACTTGCCACATAAACTGTTTTGCATTTATGACAAAAAACAAACAAAAGAAGTGGAGTAGTTATCGAATAAGGTCAGAGTCACTTAATTATTGAAAATATTTTATAACCCAATCATCAGTTCTTTGAACAACTTTTTCCATTCTATCTGCTTTTAAAACAAGTTTGTCATATAAAGTCTTTGAATATACTACCAAATTAATTGTTAGCGTCACACGATGGCGGCAGCATAATGTTCAGCCACGTTAATAATCTCGCTCACGGTCACGAGTCTTCGTAAAAAATAAATGAAAATAAAAATAATAATAATAATAAATTCAAATAATTTGTTTCGTGTGTATGTAAGATTTATGCATAATACTGTACTCTCGTAATTGCGATAATAAAATATTGCATTACGTTGTAAACATAACCATATTGACCCATTTAAGCATTTTTAGAATAAGGATATTATCCTCTTTTTTTTTTTTTCTAAGGAGCTATTAACCTTGGCTATGTTAGCTAAAGTTCATTGCGGTACATGTTTCTAGGATGGTATTTGTTCTTTTAATGTAACTGCCGTACGCTTAACTTAGATGCAGGTTCATTAGTATCTGTTTGAAAGCCGGTTCTACGTAATCCGTTTTAACATGTTTTTCATTCTTGTAGCATACCCTAACCTGCTGTTATTGTTCAATTTTCGAGTATTCAAAGTACCATTCCAAAATAGGATAGTTAATCCTAAAATTTCACGTGAAGTCTAACTTTAGGACAACATTGTGGCAACCCGGTCGCACGAAATAGTTGTTACAAACCCCTTCTGCACAGCGTCATTAGATAAGCAACAAAGTAATCCCATATATAGCGCCATCATTGGTGAAACTGTTTCATTTTGGAACAAGCTAACAAAGATTAACGTAGTAAATTACTTAGGTAATCAGTTTTTTAATTCAAGTGCTTAAAAGTTATATTTTATTTACCTATTCTCTTACCCTTGATAAGA